AGTCTTGGGGGAAGAAAAAAAAAACAGTTATTTTACAAAGTTGACAGTCTTTTTTGTTACATGTAGTTATTGTAATAACTTTTTTTTTTTTTTTTTTTTGAGACAGAGTCTCACCTTGTCACCCAGGCTGAAGTGCAGTGGTGTGATCTTGGTTCACTGCAACTTCCACCTTCTAGGTTCAAGAGATTCTCCTGCCTCAGCCTCCCTAGTAGCCGGGACTACAGGCGCATGCCTCCATGCCCAGCTAATTTTCGTATTTTTAGTAGAGACGGGGTTTCACCATATTGGCCAGGCTGGTCTCGAACTCCTGACCTCGTGATCCGGCCACCTCAGCCTCCTAAAGTGCTGGGATTACAGGCGTCAGCTACCGCACCCGGCCTTTTTTGTTTTTGTTTTTTTTGAGTTGGAGTTTTCGCTCTCGTTGCCCAGGTTGGAGTGCAATGTTGCAATCTTGGCTTACTGCAACCTCTGCCTCCTGGGTTCAAGTGATTCTCCTGTCTCAGCCTCCCAAGTAGCTAGGATTACAGGCACCTGCTACCACACCCAGCTAATTTTTTGTATTTAGTAGAGACAGGAGTTTCACCGTGTTGGTCAGGCTGGTCTCGAACTCCTGACCTCGGGTGATCCACCCGCCTTGGCCTCTCAAAGTGCTTGGATTACAGGCGTGAGCCACTGCATCCAGCCTAACATTTTTTTAGTTATGTTAATTTACCAATATTCTATGCATTGCCTCCAAAAAAAATTTCAGAATGCTTCTGTGAACTCTTGCCAGTTTGGATTCAGTTTTACCTTCTCTATATCTCATCTGTTGCACCACATCCTAAAATGTATAACTAGTTTCCTACGATCAGAATGGAAAGAGGTCTCTCTCACACCGTCCTTTGGGTCTCATGGCCAAAGGGATTGATGTGTGATGTTTTCTTGAATCTTGTGCTGACCCAGAAATTACCCCATTTTCAAGTCACAAAGGAATTATCAAGTGTGATGGGCCCATGGTCATGTGAAGGTTTATAGCCATGCTTCCACAGAGTGCCAAAGTACAGAAAGTTTTTTCGAAATAAATAAAAACAGCCACACAATCTCATCCCTTTCATTTTTATACGTTGTTAACCATCATGTATGACTCTCTTCACTGCTTGGTGAATAAAGGGGGAACTGTACTCTTATTCTCCAGGGATTTATAAACTCATAGGTGGCACCTGTATCCTAGAAGGTAAAACTCAAACAGCCAGCCGCTTGGCAGCCGTCCGTGGAGCAGACCAAAAGGAAGATAAACAATTGCTAGTAGACCTGGGACTGTGGGAAGCAAGGAAACTGTGCTTTGCTTTGGCAACCTTTTTATGGAAGACCGGGAGAGCTAAAAGCTCCCTAATGAGTTTAAAGTTTAGCATTATAGGAAAAGAAAAAAAAAAATCTGAAAAATCATTGTTAATCTGAAAAAGGGTGTGTTAGGATTCTTTTAATTGAAAAACAGTCAAACTGGTATGAGCATTAGAGGGTCTTTATTGGCTTTTGTGTCCAGAAAGTCGAGTGGGTAGAGTACACCTGGGTCCAGGAGCTGAAAAGATGCCACCGGGTCTCTTCCTCTTCTGCCTCCCTCTCAGGTGGGCTCTCCTCTGTGTTGGTGTCATTCTTGGGTGGGCTTTTTCCATATGGTGGCCACTGGCAGCTCCAGGTTAGTCTCTTCAGCGGGTGGTGGGGAGGGGAATGTATCTTTCCCAGTAGTGTCAATGTGAGTTTCAGGATCGGATCTCATTCCCCATTTCTGAACCAATCATGGTGGTGGGGATGGAATGGAAGATCCTAACTGGCCAGCCTGGAATACAAGTTGACACCTGCAGGGGGAGAAAGTGGGTATAGTTAGCCCACTCAAACCACACAGACCAAGAGTAAGAAACGGATATTTCTCCAAAAGAACACCATAGTGTTGTTACCAGAAGAGAGAGTGGATGCTATGTGTAATCACACGTCTGCCCACTACAGAGAGGAAGTCCAGAGCTTATTTGGCCAGGATAGTATGTTCACAGAAGTAAATGACTGTTCTCTGCTAAAGACTAATGAGAGAAAATAGGAATAAACAACAGTAGGAGGGACTTTAGTAATAGGTTTCAGAAAAGCTAGAAATAGGTCAAAGTTGTATAAAGCAAATCCCATTTTTCTACTGTTTTCCATTGCAAAGTCATAGGGAAACACCCACCAGATTTTCTGAGTTGAGAACTCATTTTAGAAAGTAGTTATGGGCCGGGCGCAGTGGCTCACGCCTGTAATCCCAGCACTTTGGGAGGCCGAGGAGGGCGGATCACCTCAGGAGTTCGAGACCAGCCTGGCCAACATGGTGAAACCCCGTGTCTACTAAAAATATAAAAATTAGCCAGGCTTGGTGGCAGGCACCTGCAATCCCAGCTACTCGGAGGCTGAGGCAGGAGGATTGTGGACCTGGCTAATTTTTAAAAAAATATTTTTATAGAGATGGGGTCTCCCTGTGTTGCCCAGACTGGCCTCAAACTCCTTGCCTCATGTGATCCTCCCACCTCAGCCTCCCAAAGTGCTGAGATTACAGGTGTGAGCCACTGCACCTAGCCCCCTCTTCTTTCTCTTAGCAAACAGTTCACTTACCCTTAAGCCTCAGACATTTTTTTTTTTTTCTTTTTTTGGAGATGGAGTTTCGCTGTTGTTGCCTAGACTGGAGTGCAGTGGTGCGATCTCGGCTCACTGCAGCCTCCTCCTCCCAGGTTCAAGTGATTCTCCTGCTTCAGCCTCCTGAATAACTGGGGTTACAGGCACCCACTACCACGCCCAGCTAACTGTTTGTATTTTTAGTAGAGACGGGGTTTCACTATGTTGGCCAGACTGATCTTGAACTCCTGACCTCAAGTGATCCGCCCACCTCGGCCTCCCAAAGTGTTGGGATTACACGCGTGAGCCACCGCGCCCAGCCGACACAGATTTTTTTTTTCTATGCTACAATATTCCATAACTCCATGTTGAACCCCCAAGGACTTCATCATTTTACATAATAGAGTGAACTACTACTACAGTGTCACATTTTGGCGACAGTGTTGTGCCACAACCTGAATCTCTCTTAAGAGCAGAGCTTCTGCTTGTGTAAGATTGGACACTGGATTGGAAGTGTGGCTTAGGACCACATGCAGAGGTGTTGGCTTAGGATCACATGCAGAGACTTCCCAGGCTCTTTGGAAGCAAGGAAAGGTGGGGGTGGGGAGGGCAGAAAGGAGGATGGGCAGACAGGTGCAGCCCTCAGCAGGTGCTCCGCCTTCACAGCTCAGCAGATGCGGCGGTTAAGAAGCCCAGTGAAGAGTGTGGATGTGATTTAGAAGAGAATGGAATCACAACCTATAACATAAAAAGCTGCACGTAGACTTTGCCTGCAAGGCTGTCAGTTTAAACATGAGAATGGTAAACTTAGATGAAAAATAAGTATAGATTTCTCAAGCATTTATATTACTTCTTCCCCATCCTCTCTTTCTTAATTCCTGAAATTTATATCAGGACTGTATATTTGAACCCTTTTTACTCATCCATCCATTCATCCATTCATTCATTTAGTAAGTAGTTACTGAGCACCCGACACGTGCTAGGACTCTTCTAGGCATTGGGGATACAGCAGGGAACAAAAGAAAATCCTTGACTTTATTATAGAGTTCACATTCCAAGGAGGAGAGCAGACAATAAGGAAATACACAACCTGTCAGGTGATATTAAGTGCTAAGACAAATGAAGCAGATTGAGAGGGGTAAAGAGTGGTAGGGGAAGGAGGCTGCCGTTTTAGATGTGACAAATGTGATCTGTGAGCAGAGACATGATAGGGTTTGGGAGCAAGCTGTGAGGCCACCAGGAGGAGCAGCCGATGCAGAGGGGGAAGTGAGGCCGACTGCTCCAGGCCAGGATCACTTGGTCTACTGGAGAATAGCAAGGAGGCCAGGAAGCAAGGGAGAGTGTTAAAAGATGAGATCAGAGAGAGAACAAAGGAAGGCGGTGGGTGGGGACTGCTCATATTCAGGGGAGAAGGGAAACCACTGAGGGGTCTGGGCAGAAGAATGAAGGGGCCAGACTTATGATTCAAACCAAATAGCTCCAGCTGCAATGGATGAAAAGAGTAGAAGCAGGGAGACCAATGAGGAGATTACTGGAAAAACCCAAAGCAGAGTTGATGGGCCAGGGTGCTTGAGGTAGAAGTGGATTCTCATCCTGGAACCCCTATTTCTACCTATTCCTTCTTTACCTTTTTTCTTTTTCCTCACTGTTCTTTACAGTGTGTAACCTTTTTCCTGTTCTCTGCTAAATACTAATGAGAGAAAATAGGAATAAACAACAGTATAGACACGAATCATATAATTTGTAGTTACATAGTTTTGAGGCCGACCAGAGGTTTTGTTCTGGATCTGTCTGGTCACCTCTCACCTCCCTGCCACCCCTATAAAGCTTGCTGAGTATGGGGCTGGGCTCAGATTATGATAACACTGTTCCAGGCTACACATTTAGAAGGCGCTGCTGTGGATGGGAGAGAGGATCAGCAAGTCCTACGAAGGGGGACTCAGCGTCAGGGTCTTCCCTATTTCTGTTGATTAGGAAACTCAGCCATGAGCTTAGATCTAATATTGATCATGTCTAGGATGCTCTGAAAATGTTTCCTTGTAGAAATTGCTCCCATCACTGGCTATTCTACAGAGGAAAATCATGCAGGAATGGAGAACTGCAGCAAAAGCAGGAGGCACTGCCTGGATCATAGAACATCAGTGCTGTGAGTGACCTTAGAGATCGTATCAGGCTGGGACTAGAGAAACGCAGGAGTCTCAACTACCAGGCTCATCTTCATTCCATTCACTATGCTGACTTTCCAAACAACAGGCAGCCCTTGCTGGAAGAGCTGTAGAGATGGTTTTCAGCATTTCTGTGTTCATCCCATCACAGAGTGACTGGTTTATTTGCCTTTCGATCCTAAACAGTAATGCATCCTTTCTTTTTGTTTTCAACCCTAGGGGTTGCCCTGCTCTCAGATGTCTATCCTGAGAAAATCTTGCCAGACCTGTTGGCTCAATATGACAGCAGCAAAGACAAGCACACACCAGAGACCAGAATGAAAGTCGGGGAAGTCCTGATGCGAATCGTCAGGGCGTTAGGTGAGTTTTCTTGTTCCATCCACCTGGAAAAGGGTGGAAGATCAGTGTCTTTGAAACCAAAGTGTGTGTACCTGGGGGCTTGTTATACTAGCGTGGTGAGGGTAGTTTGAGGGCTGGGATGAACTAGTACCCATTTAGGAATTTAGGAAATACTCAGATCCCTACTATGAGACTGAACGCAACAATGTCCTTTTTCTTAAAACTGTTCAGTCTCTGGCCAGGTGTGGTGGCTCATGCCTGTAATCCCAGCACTCTGGGAGGCCGAGGCAGGTGGATCACCTGAGGTCAGGAGTTCAAGACCAGCCTGGTCCACATGGTGAAACCCTGTCTCTACTAAAAATACAAAAAATAGCTGGGCATGGTGGTGCACGCCTGTAATCCCAGCTACTCGGGAGGCTGAGGCAGAAGAATCGCTTGAAGCTGGGAGGCAGAGGTTGTGGTTGAGTCGAGATTGTGCCACTGCACTCCAGCCTGGGCAACAAAATGAGATTCCGTCTCAAAAATAACAACACCAAAAAAACTGCTTAGTCTCCTTCCCCGGGAGCTGTGTTGGGCCCTGATTTTCAATGGAGCTGGAATGAGAAGTCTCACACTTGAGCTAAAAGAAGAGGAATGTCAGCTGGGCACCGTGACTCACGCCTGTAATCTCAGCACTTTGGGAGGATCGCTTTAGGCCTGGCAGGAGTTCAAGACCAGCCTGGGTAACATGGCAAAACCCTGTCTCTACCAAAAATTAGCCAAGCATGGTGGCACACACCTGTAGTCCCAGCTACTCAGGAGGCTGAGGTGGGAGGATCACCTGAGCCTGGGAAGTCGAGGCTGCAGTGAGCAATGATTGTACCGCTGCACTCCAGCCTGGGCAGCAGAGCGAGACTCAGAATAAAGAAGAGAAATGTCAAGCAGGGAAGGAAGAGTGCTGACTCTTGCTGAATGTCTGCTGTATGCCAGGTTGTCCATATATATAATCTCATCTAATTTCCCAACAAATCTTGTAAAGAGGCTGTTACTAAACCCATTTTACAGATTAAGAAACTGTAGCTCAAACATATTCAGCAATTTGTCCAAGACTCATTCAGCTGGTAAGTGATAGTGCTAAGAATTGAACCACCAACTTGAAGGAAGTTGCTCTAGGCTGTATAAGCTGAGAAGAGTAGTTAAGGGATAGGCTCTAGACTTACACTGCCTCACTTCAAATCCTGAACTGCCGCTGCTTTTTTTTTTTTTTTTTCTCTTGGTAGAGGTGGGGTATTACTGTGTTTTCAGGCTAATCTCAAACTCGTGAACTCAAGCAATCCTCCTGCCTCAGCCTCCCAAAGTGTTGGGATTACAGGCATGAGCCATGGTGCCCAGCCCTCTATTTCACCTCTATTAGAACCTTTGTATATATGCCTCTTAGCCTTTATCCTTCTACTTCAGCCTCTTGAATAGCTGGGACTAGAGGTACATGCCACTACGCCTGGCTAATTTTTGTATTTTTGTAGAGACGGGGTTTTACCATGTTTCCCAGGCTGGTCTTGAACTCCTGGCCTCAAGCAGTCTTCCCACCTTGGCTTCACAAAGTGCTGGGATTACAGGCATGAGCCGCTGCACCCAGCCAGAATTTGGTTATTAGTAACACTTAACTCATAGGGCTGTTGTAAAGATTAAATAAGGTAATTCTTACAGTGGTATTTGGCATACAATAAGGGCTCAGTAAAATTTTATTTTTGCCTATGCAAAAATGATGTAAACATTTTTTAAAGATTAAAAATGAAGGAAAACAAATACTTTTTGCTGTTTATTGAGTGCTCATATGAAGCTAGGAGGTGGGACCCTAGGGAACAAGGACAAAGAAAACAATAGTTCATTCTGAAGAGAGAGGTTAAATTAAGATGAATTTCTCCATAAGCCAGCAAGTACACTTTGGATTTTTTTGTACTGGGCTATATAACATAGAATTGAGAAAAGATTCATTTATTTAACCTGTGCTCCACAGACTTAACCATTAGCTGTCACACTGAATATCACTAGAAGGCTTAAAATAAGGCAAATCAATCATACAGGTGAGAGCCAGTGGTGTACGGTATCCATTTGAGCCAGCTAGCTGCCATATTGATTTTTGAGAATGAGGTTCCGTTTTAGGGCTGTGTTCTTGTCATGCATGGCCTATATCAGATTGTGTTATAAAGTGTAGCTGTTGGTGGTTAATATTTGGCTTAATAACAGTGCCACACTTCTTTTATTCTTTAAATTATATCAGCACTTCTCAAGTACTGCTATATTTGTCCTTGACTTTTTAGTAATTCCATTATATACTCACTAGTCTGTTATCTAAGGCAGAAAAAGAAGATACAATCTCAACTTCAGCTTGGGCAATTTGTCCGTGAGCTCTAGTAAAACTTGTAAATTTACTCTTTATCCGGTAGAGGAAGATTTTGGAGAACAAAGTGGAGGTGGGGTAGCTTTTTGCCACTTGCATCAGGAGATCACACTGAATTCCTCCTTCATCAGCATGTCAAAGGATTTATAGAAATTCCATATAGCCATGTACTGTTTTTATGGACATAGCCCTTAATTTTCCCAATTTCTAGGTGACTCTTCTGGCTAAGGATGATAGAACCTAGGTCTCCAACCACTTAAATCCTTTTATCAGTGAAAGGAGAATTACTTGAGAGTGGAATTTATTTTATTTTTTTTTTCTGACCAATGGATTCATGTCACAGAGAGTGAAATTTGTTTATCTATCTTTTTTTATTTTTATTTTTTGAGATGGAGTCTTAGCCGGGTGCGGTGGCTCACACCTGTAATCCCAGCACTTTGGGAGGCCAAGGCGGGTAGATCATGAGGTCAAGAGAGCGAGACCATCCTGGCCAACAGGGTGAAACCCCAACTCCACTAAAAATACAAAACTTGGCCGGGCGCGGTGGCTCATGCCTGTAATCCCAGCACTTTGGGAGGCCGAGGCAGGCGGATCATGAGGTCAGGAGATCAAGACCATCCTGGCTAACACAGTGAAACCCCGTCTCTACTAAAAATACAAAAAATTAGCCGGGCGTGGTGGCGGGCGCCTGTAGCCCCGACTACTGGGAGGCTGAGGCAGGAGAATGGCGTGAACCCGGGAGGCGGAGCTTGCAGTGAGCCGAGATCGCGCCACTGCACTCCAGCCTGGGAGACAAAGTGAGACTCCTTCTCAATAAATAAATAAATAAATAATAAATTAATAAATAAATAAATACAAAACTTAGCTGGGCATGGTGGCATGTGCCTGTAGTCCCAGCTACTCAGGAGGCTGAGGCAGGAGAATCTCTTGAACCTGGGAAGCGGAGGTTGCAGTGAGCCGGGATTTTACCACTGCAACTCCAGCCTGGCAATAGAGCCCAACTCCATCTCAAAAAAAAAAAAAAAGATGTCTGTCACCCAGACTGGAGTACAGTGGCACCATCTTGGCTCACTGCAACTCCGCCTCCTGGGTTCAACTGATTCTCCTGCCTCAGCCTCCCGAGTAACTGAGACCACAGGCCCGTACCACCATGCCCGGCTAATTTTTGTATTTTTAGTAGAGACAGGGTTTCACCATGTTGGACAGGTTGGTCTCGAACTCCTGACCTCAGGTGATCCGCCCGCCTTGGCCTCCCAAAGTTCTGGGATTACAGGCATGAGCCACCGCACCCAGCTGAGAGTGAAATTTAAAAATACTTTTTTTCTAAGAAGAAAGATGAACTTTCTATATTTGCCTTAGTTCTGAATTTGAATCTAAAACATGCCAGACAAGTACACCATTATAAGAAATCATTCTCTCACAGTAGGTGTGAAGGGTGCACCACTGGGATTATCAGAGCTGAGAAGAATATAAACCATACACAGACAACATCAACATGTATTTTCTCTGGTAGACCTCTACCTTTGGGATGATAAACACTAAAAGTACATATTTCAGAGTCCCCATTGGCCAGTCCAAATGATTTCCTGGGGTGAGAGTGGAGGTGGGGATGAAGGGCTGGATACAGTTGAGGTGAGGCCTCACTCCTCCTTACATACTCTTATAATTAGCCCAATTTCCAAAACAGCCTTCTGCCATTTCAAAGCAAATTCCACTAATTCTCAAAGTTCCCTTCTTTGTGTGGCCTACTCTTCAGAGTGTCCAATTGTAAACACAGCCTTAGCTTTAACTGCTAGTTTCTGTTTCTGTTCACATCATCAACTTGTCCCGGTACATAGATGAAGTGGTGTGTTGAAATCCTTTGAGTAACATTAAAGCCCATTTTGACAACATAGCCAATATTCTTAGTTTTCTAGTGTTGTGGAAATGCTGTGAACAGCCGCTTGGTAAGTTCTAGTTCCATCAGCCTAGGCCTTGCTGTCTCCCCACCTCTACCTCTTCTCTGCAGTGGTGGGAGTTGGTGGGAGAATGCGGCCCACCCGTGGGAGCAGGGTGCAGTACACTATGTTACCTCTCTCATCATGCTAGTTCCCTAGCCACACCTACTTGTCTTCCTGCCACTAGATCATGGTGCAAAATCAGCAGGAGCTTTTTTTCTTTCCATTAAAAAAAATTGAGGTAGTACATATATACAGTAAAGTACATAACATATATGATTTTATTTTATTTTATTTTTTGAGACAGGGTATCGTTCTGTTGCCCAGGATGGAATGCAGTGGTGCGATCATGGTTCACTGCATCCTTGACCTGTCAGTCTGATCCACCTCCCTCAGCTTCCCGAGTAGCAAGGACCACAGGTGTGCGCCACCATACCCAGCTATTTATTAAGTTTTTTACGGAGATGGGGTCTCGCTGTGTTTCCCAGGCTGATCCCAACCTCCTGGGCTCAAGTGATCCTCCCACCTCCACTTCCCAGTGTGCTGAGATTAAGGTGTAAGCCACAGCACCCAGCCTGAAGTATATGAATTTTTTTTTTTTTCCTTGAGATGGAGTCTTGCTCTGTCGTCCAGGCTGGAGTGCAGTGGTGTGATCTTGGCTCACTGCAGCCTCCACTTCCCCAGTTCAAGGGATTCTCCAGCCT